CAGGTAATCTAGTAATATTAATTAAAAATCAATTGGGATCTTTGCTAAAAAAAATCACCCTTCAGGATTTTCTAATTGGGCTAATTTGGGAAAGTTTAGACCAGAATACAGATTCTTATTCATGTGTAAATTACCTTTTGCTTTATTTATTCAATAGTTTATTAAATAAACTGTCAAATCAGTAAAGTAAAAAGATGGTTTATATATGAATAAAAATCGACATTCCAGTTTAAACTTTCCCAAATTAGCCCGATTGGAAAATCCTAAAGGGTGATTTTCCTGACAAAGATCCCAATTAATTATTTAGTTAGCTAAGTTAGCTACTCAAATTTTTAAAAAAATTTAACTAATCAATTACATTTTTTGTACTAATTTATAAACTAAGATGAACTTGTCTATATAGATACAACAGCTGGACTTGATGCTCTCAATACTCCTTTAACAATTTTCTCTACCAGTATACCTGCTGGTGGTCTACCTCTTGCTACAATTCTTATATCTGATGAAATGGCATGTACTTTTACAAAAGCATTAGCCATATTTAAACAACTAATTTTATCAACAGCATTTAGTAGACGTGGACCTATAGTTGAACCACAAGTAATTATAACAGATGACTGTAAAGCAGAAAAGATAGTATTATATAATACTTGGAAAAATACAACCTTGCTTTTGTGTATATTCTATTTCTTGCAAGCAATATGGAGGTGGCTTTGGGATAGTAAGCATAGTATTCATAACAAGAACTGTGTATTTTTAATTGAATATATAAAAAAACTTGTTTTTGCAAAGTCAGAAACTACATTAAATATAGTTATTTATTTAAAGTATCCAAATTTTCAAGTCTATTTTAATGTTTCTTGGGATTGCCATCATGAATGGGCTATCATATTTCATTAGCATCTTCCAATTCGGAATAATAATATTAACAACTTTGTAGAAGCAAGAATTCGAATCTTAAAGGATATTATATTTAAACATGTACAGGCCTATAATATTGTACAAATGTTTTAGTTTATTGTCAACACAATGAATTTTTATTATGTTTGAAGATTACTAGCAATAGCTTATAACAAATTAGATAGCTTTGTTGCACTTCACTTTCGACTTTCTGGATGGCTAACTGAAGCAAAAGATGATATAAAAATCATAAATCTAAACTCGATGCTATTTAGATATAAAAGTAATAACAATCCAAATATGTGGTATTTTGTAGATATGCAGGTTGGAACATGTGAATGTAGTTTAATAGGAGTGCCATGTATGTATCAAGCATCAATAGCAAAGCATTTTAATATGTGTGAACTAAACCAAATACCAACAATGTCTGTAGAAAAACATTATTATTATGCTTATCTTGCATTAGGTAAAAGCCGTAAGCCTCTTAATTTTTATGCTAATCTTTATCAAAAACAGGTTGAAAAAAAACATACAAATTTATTAAAAGAAAATAAGTTAAAAATAAATAATATTCTAAATAATGAAGATTATAGCAATAATAATAATTTTAGTAAACTTAGCAAAGAAAACATGCTCTCCTCTTCATTTTCTTCTTCAGCATCTTCAGATTATACTGATATCAATGATAGTGATAATAATATTAATAATAGTGATATTGAAAATAATAATAGTGATGATAGTAACATTGATAATAATAGTGAAAGCAGTGCTATAGATAAGCTTTGCTAGTTCTGTAGTAATCTAGAAGATCTTTTGAAGCAAAATGATCCTGTATTAAATGATAGTGTTCACAAGTTTGTCAAGTCATATAAATAGCAATAATCTATGCAAGATACTTACGTTCATCCAGCCATAATATCTTTTCTTCAAAATAACTGATCTACAAGTAGAACTAATAGTAATATTTGCCAATGTAGTGGGAAAAAAATAAGAGTTCAAGTTACTGCTGCATTATGGCATAGAGAAGGCTTAGGTCATAGATTTAAGAAAATATAACAAGAAAGACCAAAGAAGGATATGCAAAATAATTATGTTGCTAATGATGAAATACAAGAATTAGATAACTTCACTATGACCAAATAAAAAAAACACCAGAAAAAATGTCAACATAACTTGAATCAAGCTATTATTAAAAACAGACCTAATAGTATAAAATAAAGTTTTTATTAAATTATTTTTTCTTAAATATATATTATATAAAAATATCAATATAAATATTATATATATACATATAACTTTTAAATAAACTTCAATAAATTTTTTAAACCGGGCACAAATTTTTTTTTTGCATATAGTAGTGCTAAAATATATACATATTATATATTAGAACTAGGACTAGGACTTTAGATCTAAGATTATTTATTTACGGCTAAAACCTACCAGAGCCGTCAATATTCTTACATATGTGATTGTTCTAAATTTATATATCCCTATACATGTTGCCCAAACTATAAATTATTAAAATCCCACCCAAACCCAAATTCCAAGTGAAAAAATCCCAAATTCCAAACTGAAATAATCCCAAATACTGGCAAAATCCCAAACTTTGCCCAAATCTCAAATATTATCCCAAATCCCAAATCCTATCCCAAATCCTATCCCAAATCTCAAACTCTATTCCAAATTTCAAACTCTATTTCAAATCCCAAATCCATCCCAAATCCCAAATCCCATCCCAAATTTCAAATCCCAAATTCTCTACTATTTCAAAGCCAAATTCCTAAATCTTCTGTTTTAAATCCTGAATCTGAAATTTTAGGTAATAGTAAATCAATATGCGTAGTTATATTCCAAAGAAACATTGGTAAGGATAGCGAGTAATACCCAAATCTTAATCGTGTGAGTATTATTTTTAGGAATATTGTAAGTAGTGCAAATGGTAACTGAATCCATTTCTATTGATCTCTAAGTTGTCGCTTTCCCATAGTCTACTGATTCAAATGTTTGCTACAATTAAATGATTTTTCAGATAATTATTTCATTTCAAACTCTAAATCGAGACTATTTATATAGCTGTTGTAAAAAAAAAAATAATTACTGATCGTCTACTATGACAGTGATTATTTTACTTAACCCGATCTAAAGTTTGAATTCATAATACATCAAAACAAGAATAAAATATGATATTGAAATTATATTTTGTATAAATTTAATTGTAAAGACTTGCTTTAATTTGAATAGTAGTAATTATATCGCAAATAAGGAGATAAGTTACATGTTTGTGCATTGGTAGAAAAATTATCTATTTTCAGATACAACTTTAATCATGAGAGATGTCTCTAGTAGTGCATTTAGACAACTTAGATTAACTACTGTGGTTAAGAACTGACTATATATCTTATAGCCTTTTCTTTGAAGATAGCTTTATGAACATAGTAATTACTATATATATACTATGATTATTTCAAGGCAAAGTTCCTGATGTTTTTAAAGCCGATCAAAGGTTCGTATGAATTGAATCCTATGAATTTCACATATTACTATTGCTAAAACAATAGTAATATGTGGGATTCATAGAATTCAACTATCACACTAGTTGAAACAGTGAATAAAAAATATAAAGCCAAATAAGGCAAAATATAATAATTTTATTAAAAAGACTATATTCATAAAATTTAAAACCATAAAATTTAAGAACATAGTAATTGAGGCTTCAATTTATAAAATGTTACTACTTTGCAATAATTTATATAAAATCCACTTAAGTGGAATCCAAGACTTAGTTTTTATTTCAATATATAAAAATAATAAATGCTTCTTTTCATGTTTTCACAGTACTATTATTGACAATAATACTAGAAATTAAAATTCGCTAGAGAAAAAAAAATTTAAGAATAATATCAAAATAGAGATTAAGAATTCAAATCATCTAAGTCATCTGATGGGATCTCTTGCAGTATAGGTTATACCTTCATTTTTTCCAGTGAAATATGGCGAATAAAGGCATCATGACTTAAGTCACGATGTCTTTATTCACCATATTCACCGGAAAAAATGAAGGTATAACCTATACTACAAAAGATCCATTAGATAAAGCATAACCCAAGATCTGATTCTAGAAAACAAAATAAATCTAAGGATACTATTTCCAGTCTGGAGAAAGTTGTTTAACCTTTTTATAAAATCTGACATAGCAGCGAATTCTTGATTCAATCAACATTAATCTAAATTTAGCATTTTTATTATAACAATTATGTTTCAAATGCTTTCGAACAACAGCAGCTTTCTTAATCAAATGATGAAGGTCTTCAGAAATCTTGGGTGCTAGACCTTAAAAGGGAGTAATCAATATTATTTAATACAATCGTTCAAATATATATATATATTTTTTTGAATAAAGCGATTACTTACTATAATACCTTAAGATTCAAAGAACTTTATTCATAGTAATGTTTTTAATTGGCTTAATATCATACAAGTTCCGAAGGTATATGACAATTTGTGAGGGCGTTAGACCCTTTTCTTATCAACAGTTGGTATAGAGAAATGATGGTGATGATACTTTTACTAGGAATATACATAAGACCCATTTTATCCCTCTGAAATGAATATGATTACAGGCTATTGTTTTCCTCTAAAAAAAAAAAAAAAAAAAGCTATCCTAGGAGAAAATATTAGTCGACGTATAGTATACAAATGAGTTATACTTACAATTCATAGATCACATTATATAGCACAATCATAAAACTCTTATTTATTCTATAAGACTATAGCTACAATAAACTCATTAGAAATCTTAATTAAACGTATTTCTCATATATTAGGTACATACGTAATTTCCAAGAAAATGATACTGCTTTGACCGAGCTTGAACTCTGATAATATTTAATGCAAAATAAATAAAATAAAATAAAAATATTAATCTCCTGATTATATCAAGATCACGGGGATTAATGAATAATATCCTGATCCATATATGAATAAGCAAAAACTTCGTCTCCACTAATCCCCAATAGATCAGGATATTATTATTACTAAACTACATAACTTGAAATTTTTTTTTCCTGAATTATATATAAATTGTATTTTATTAATAAACATCAATAAAGCAAATTATTTACATCAAAATTTTTATCCCCATGTATAATTTCTTTATTTACATTTAAAGACTCATCAATATCTAATTTTAATTGTAAATTTATGAAATTTTCTAGGTTTAAATTTGTAGAGCTTTCTTGATCTAAATCATCTGGTTCATCTGAAAGACTTTCCATGTCTTCTTCCATCAGTTCTTCCATCAGTTCTTTTGCAAGTTCTTTCGAAAAAGAAATCGACTCTTCCTTGCCAAATAAATCTGTATCGTCTTTTATGAAACTTGTGATTTTGTTGAAAATTGATAAGAAATCCTCTTGAGGAAAATTTGGATTCACATAATTAAGCTCTGACTTAGTGTTCTCAACCAAATACGAGTGCATCTGAGCCATAATCTCCAGACGTTCGATGCTTAGCCTAAAAATAATATTTGAGTGAAAATAAAATTAAAGAATGATCAAATTTTGATTTTTATATCAAATCAATTATACAAGAATTGGCCAATCAAAATCGATTATGTAAGTATTAAAATTCATTCTACAAAAGTGACGCAAAAATTACGAATAACTAAAAAATAACTCACTTAGTTCGCCTTTTTTCAAAATACCACCCTAGTATACTAAAGACATGCTCATAGGCAGCATTATGGGGAGAAATAGAATGCACTTTTTCAGCAAGACTTTTAATATGGTCTTCATTTCTTTTAAAATCTCTAGATATCCACCAATTAGTAATTGTATCAGCAGACACAATAAATTTATCTTTAAAGGAATACTTTTGGTTTTTGTATAAATTCATTTGAGTTTTTAGAAGATCTGCACTAATTCGACCACCTCCAAATTGTTGCTTTCATATTTCTAAAGCTTTTTTAAGAACATGGTTTGTAAATACACCAGGTTCAAGGAAATCACCTATAATAAAGGAAGAAAAAAAAAATAAAAAAAAAATAAAAAAAAGATAATGTAAAAAATATTACTCTAAATTATGCTAGACATATGACTTTTAAGTATCGCGATAAGTTGGATATAAAAAAAATGATAAAAGATACAGTTCCATATCAAATTCTTTCTACTGTTTATTATAAATGGCAATGCAATCACACCTAAACTGGCTGTTATATAGAATGGAACTTTCTCAGATTGCAATTGTCATTTTTACTAGTTCAATGAAGACATCAGCCAACAAGATAGTTCCAAATTCTATATTTTTTACAGCCCGTTTCACTGGCTCAAGAATATTTCGTAATTGTTTTACGTCAATTCAAAATTAACGATTGGTTATTAAATTTTTTATGGCACTTGCATGATCAAAAATTTGAGGGTTTTGTTCTAAAATCTAAGTTATTTTAATTTATTACTTGTTACTTTACATATCATTGTAAATAGAAAACTTATATACGGTATATAGCAAAAATTTTAATACCAATCGAATATTCGCTTCATTACATAAAATTAATTCACAACAATTCCATACCATTGACTACCGGGTTTTAGTACTTGATTTTAAATTTCCACCAACCATGAAGGAACATATAATTTCTTTTCTAAGGGCAGCACTAGCAATATAAGAATTCCTAAAAAAACTTACAATTTTTTGACAATTAGAAAGGACATTACGGGCATGAGGTAAATGGCAGATACTACTAGAGATTAATTGTATATGGTGTGCGATGCACCTAATGGGTAAGATATGCGGATATTTTGCTGCAACCTGTCGTTTTGCTACTGTCATTGCCGATTCTGCATCAGAAACTATTGCAACAAATTTTTCAGGCCTGACATTTTCTAATACTTCTATTATTTTTTCAGCATTAAACTTGGCTATATAAGAGTACTTTGAAAAATCACGTAAAGAATATACATATTGTTTTTTTTTATCGGTCATTATAACGAAGGCATATATACTATGCTTCATCGGACTGCACCAACCATCTACACACAATATAAGGTTCCTAGATTTTGATAGTTCCTTTTCTATCTTTAACGTTATGTTTGCTGCTTCTATATCTAATATTGATGTTGCCAATGTAGTTCGCTTGGGTGGGCTATATCCTGGGTTTAACATTTTGGTGTAATCTTCAAAATACAGATTATCAAAGGCAGAAAATAAAATGCCAGAGTACACAATCCACTTAATTAATGATTTATTAGCCATTTTTTCTTTATTTTTGTCAATGGCTTCTTTAGTATTGTAGTAATCTTCAAAAGATAACATAATATTGTCTGATTTTCTTTTTTTTAAGGTAAATGTTCCGGGTGGCATGAGCTTATCTTCATTTTGAAGGTCCTGAAGTACTCTAAGTTAAATTTCTCTTGGTACTTTTCCTTTACATTTCATTTTGAGGTAAGCCTTCATATCTTGAGCTCTTCTTCGAGTCCATGATACAGTACAATATTTACATCTTGCTCCTTTATGCTTTCCTTTTCCATTGTTTATAGTGTCAAATTCCCTTCAAATATCTTCTTGGGATCGTCCCCTACCAAATGATAATTGCGTTGTATTTGTTCGTACGGAATCTGTTTCAGAAATAGGAACAGGATCAGTTGAAATTCCATCAGTACTAATATCATCATTGTTGGTAGAATATTCCATGATTGTAAAAATTTGATATATGGGAACCTCCACAGCAAAAGGTGGCAATGGGCCAAAAAAATTTTTTTCTTAAAAATGCAATTTTTTGAAGAATTAGAGTAATTGGCATATAATTTTTACAAAATTACAAAATAAAAATTTTTGGCCCATTGCCACCTTTTGCTATGGAGGTCCCTATATATGCTAAATAAATGCCAATCTATAAAAGTGTCTTCAAAAAAAAAAACCACTGTGAAAGATAATGTTTGTTAGTGCACCAAGTTATTGGAACACTAAGTTAGAAAAAACTTATTTTAAAAATCTATGCTATAAAAAAAGGAATGAAAATATATATTATTTATTTTATAAAGCGAACGATATTTTATTTTTAAAGAGTGCAAACTTATTTTTTAGCAAAAAAACATCAAGTTTAAATATGTTTTGAATTATGAATCTGGTCCATGGTAATATTCAAAAAAATCTAACTAACGTACTAATTTGAATGACGATAAAAAACAATGACAATTCAATATTTTATTTGTTAGCATAATCACAAGAGAATTGTGTGTTATCATCAGCATTATTGATATTACAACCGTTACAACCAAATAACCAAATTTGAACAGAATTGTTTTTTATTTTAATTTTGTATGTCTATAGAATAAAGTAAAATTTATTTTAATTGCTTTCACTAGTGCTATGTACTTCAGGAACCCAGGTAGAGACTACCCGGCTTACCTGCAGGTGGGCGGATAACTGGGTGGCAATTGCTTGTACAAGACTTTACTAAAACTTCAATCCAAATATGCATTTGTATGTATATTGATTACTTTTTTTTTTAAAAAAAAAAGACTTTTCAAAACCGGATTTTATATTAGACTAAAGGTGTTCTCAAGCACCCACTCAATATATTGGAGGTAAATTCTTAGTAAATTTCTACCTGATCCAAAAAAAATTACTATTTTCACCCAGGTTACTTTTTTTAACCCACCCGATTTCTATCCGGATGGCTCATGGATTTACCCACGGGTGACCAGGTGGCATTTTTTTTTGACTATTTTGGGATATTCAGCCAATTCTATAAAAAAGAAAACTTCAGGTTTGGCTTGAATGATTCTCACAGTTTTTTTTTTTTATTATGAAGGTCAATAGAAATTGATAAATCATATGATTTTTGAAGGATCCAAAAGGATTAAAAAGATTAAAAAAGAATACTACAAGCCCTTACATAAATAATAGCCCCAACGCCAAGGATCTAGTATGAGAAATATACAACAGCCAAATGCACAAAATGATCATCTGATCAATTACTTCATATTTGAGTTATTCTGTCATTCATTACCAAAAAAATTACATCATAGTGCTTACAAATATATAAAATAAATTTTAAACAAAGGCTTTTCTCAAGTGACCAAGGTGTTGGAATTTTTTTAATTAAATGAAGCGATTTTTGTAACAATCTTGTCAAAATTTCAATTATGAAAATACAAATTTGATTTAGCAAATCCAGAGCATATATGGTCTTCGTATACAGATTTTGACTTAAATAATTCTCACTATTTATTTTTATTTTTATTTTTTTAGCGAAATCAGGTTATTTTATAGTATAACAATTAAGGCGTTTGAGAACAGCCTAGATCTCAATAAAAATTGCACATTTTATATAAAAGCATATGATTTTTAAAGAATACGAAGAATAAGAAAGAATTACTAACGAGGGTCTGTTCTGCACAATTCTGCAAGAAAGAATAATAACACCAATTCCAAGGATCTGATATAAGAAATTATGCAACGTTATTAATGCATACCTCATATAAGAGCCAAATGCATAAAATAACCTGACAAAGAGATGCATTAATTGAGAAAAATACACTTGAAGATTTTTTTAATATTACACCCCAAAATTTTTTCTCAATCACAAAGACCAGTTATTTCTGATCTCAGTAATTTCTATGCATAACATCCCAACAAGATAGCACTAAATTAATCAGAATTAAGCACTATCTTGTCACTTTTGATGCAGTTTATACGGCTACTGTTTATAATATGTAACAAAAAGATGAAAATATCGTTTCAAAATATGTATGGACGTAGGCTGTTTCATGTGTGAATACTAACAAAAAATTTTATTCCCACGATTATAGTTATTATGATGTAACGGTAACTCAAACTCTCTAACTCAAAGAATTTTATCGTTGTGCCCATGAAAATAAGATAACACCAATCATAGAGTGGTAAAAAAGTGAATATGAGGAATTCAAAAAAGTAAAACAATTTCTAACTGCTAGCACCATACTAATATTCTTCAAAATAAGGCCAAACAAAGTTTATTTTCGTTTTGCATTATCCACCGACCCAAAATTTTTTTCTTTTCTTTTTTTTTAATAATATTAATAAATATAGTAAAAAATATCGATATTGTTCTCAAGCGCCATAATTAATCTGCCAGAACGGGTCTGTGAGTAAATTTTTATTGGTAAAAAAATAGCTTAACGAATCAATTATTGATTATTTCAATAAATAAAACAGTGATGAAAGTTTAACACATTAGAAAGAAGTATTTTATTAGCGGAAGTTCATTTAACCGATCAAGGGTATTTATCATTCCAATCAACAAAAGATAGAGGCCCAAATGGCCTTTTTATATTATAGAGTTGCGCTTATTAGTCGAAATTTTTTCATTGATTGATTAGAAAAATAATTGTTCAATACTTATGCTAAAAATCTTCGCCAAAATAAAAAGGCACATTTTTGTGTTCTGTTGGTTTGTAGTAAATTCTAAAAAGATCATAAATTAATCACATTAAGAAAGATACATGAGCATATTTCATATTATTATTTATATCATTGGTTCTCAAAAATGGTCTAATTAATAACATTGAACGTGCTGCTTGAGAACACCCTAAATCTGCTAAGTTACTGATAAGTTGGTAACTAATAACAAAAATTATAAATTATGATAATTTTAAAACAAGTAAAGTATCTTTCTTAAAAGCTAAATTCTGGCTATAAGAAAACTTGACCAGAAGTTTGAAACCCAGATAATGCAAAACGAAAAACCAACTTTGTGCAGCCTAAAAATGTTCAACTATTCGAAGCGATGATAGTAAAATAGTTCAATAAAACAAACAATAAAAGTCAAACATCATCATTACTGAACTGTTGTTTGAGGCTCAAAGATATACTTCATATATCAACTAAATATTTGTAAATAAAGATCAATAAAAATTCATTAGAATATTATGTGAGTTCATTAAATTCAACATAAGTGTCAAACATCATAGTTGCTATATCTCAAACTATCTAAGTAATACTTGTTGCTCAGTAAAAGCATTCTTTTACTTATAGTATTAAATGGATCTTTAATCTAGCCTTAATAATGAGCATGACTTACTTCAAAGAAAGTTCTATCTATATGTATACATAGCAGTCAGATAGGCGATTGAAACTTTAAAATATAAATGGTTAAACAAAAGAGTGAAATATTATACTGCTTTAAGCTTGGAAAAAAATAAGCCCAGTAAAAAAAATATTATTGCAGTCCAAGGGTCTTTCATATATAATCGTGTTACAAGATTGATAATTTATTATGTGCACATCAGCGGATTTTGGAATTTGGGATATGGGATAGAATTTGGAACTTGGGATATAAGATGGGATTTGGGATTTGGAACTTGGGATGGGATTTGAGACTTGGGATTTGAGATGGAATTTGGGATTTGGGATATGGAATAGGATTTGGAACTTGGGATTTAGAATGAGATTTGGGATGAGATTTGGAATTTGGAATATGAGATGAGATTTGGAATTTGGGATTGGGATTTGTCTAGTTTTGCTATATAGGATTTTTGAATATGGCTGAACAATCCCATTTGTCTAGGTTTGTCCATAGCCAAATCCCAAATCCTATGAGTTTGTCCAGTAAGTATATATATTCCTCCCCAACCACCAATTAGTATTCACATATCTGCCACTTTATCTATATACCTAATATCTTAACTTCCAAATTGGTATATACTAGTGAGTACTTATTGCTCTCAGTTTGGTGTACCTGGTTCCAACTAGTATACTTCTAGGAGTTCATATCTCAAGCTATACAGCTGCCTTTACCTAATTAGATAAGTATCTCAAGCTATAACTAGCTAGTTTCTTGTAACTTTGGAACCCAGGTCTTAATATTTTAAATTTGGTAATATGCAAATAACTGTACTTTCCAATATGATGATAAGGCTGTCTAGACATATTTCTAGTACCCGATATAGTTAAATGGAATCATGAGGCCTAGGGGTTCTTAACAGATGCATCATCATTTCTATTTATAATGATTCTTGAAAATTGTAGTCTCTAGTTACTACTGCATTCACTTATATTAGCTATATCTAGTTTCAAGTCCTCTTAATGCTTGAAAACTCCCATATGGGTATGACTAGAGCCTGTTAGATCTATCAACACATACATGCCTCCATGTTTCAACTTCTTATTGGCTAGTGAGTTCTGTATGCGTCAAAGGTGTTCCAAATCTAGTAAGGCTAATTCTTTATTACAGATCTCTTTGTATTCACTATATTTCTTACCACTTCTAATTTTGGTTACTGCTTAGTCATCCTCCCAAACAAGATTCCCAATGCTATCTTAGAGGTTGTTGGTGCTACTTTGCTAATCGTGAATTTATATACACAATCTTTGGTAATAGAACTTTCTATAATAACTAATATTACATGTAGTGCTAACTACTCTACAATAGATTTTCTTCTGGAAATTTCTAATTCAGACTTGTATTTACTCGGACTTCTTATAGTAGATACTTTCAAATATTCGTAGATAAACATCTATTAGGACTTGAACCCAAAACCTGCTTGTGAAGAGTTGGGTTCTTAGACCACTAGGCTGCAAATCCCAACCCTATGTTTGTTACTTAATAAAAGTTGTTTAGAATATAAAAATATACATATTTTGAAAGTTTTATACAATTTGAATAACTTTTATTAGTCTAGTTTGCATTTTAAATTTGAAATAAAAAA